AAGGGCCTTCAAGGGTCAAGAGCCCCATCATCTAAACTTTAAGCACAACTGGAACTGTGAACATTCCTGGAAGTTGTATGGCCATGCTGTTAATCCTTAGAGAGCATACTGTATAACATACATAGCATAACATAGCATACACATATAAACATGGTGAATCCAGGCTTAATAGAAGTGGCTGTGAGAAGGATCTTGAAGTCTTAGTGGACAACCAGCTAAATGTGAGCCAGCAGTGTGCAGCAGCAGCCAAAAAGACCAATGCAATCCTAAATTGCCTTAACAGAGGGAAACAATCAAGATCAAGTGAGGTACTAATACCCACTCTATAAAGCCCTAGTAAGACCACACCTAGAGTACTGCATCCAGGTTTGGTCACCACACTATAAAAAAGATGTAGAAAAAATGCAGAGAAAAGCAACAAAGATGGTTAGGGGACTGGAATCTAAAACATATGAAGAACAGTTGCAGGAACTGGGCATGGCCAGTCTAGTGAAGAGAAGGACCAGNATATTCCTTGCAGACAGCTGGTCGTTTGCATCCTTTTAGAGGGTCGTTGAAGCACTTGGAGGTTTATCTCTGCCCTCAGGGTCACCTCCCATTTTTTTCCCTTTCTCTGGAAAGTGTTGTAAAGTGTCACAGTGTTGTAAAGCCCTGTGGAGCAATATATAAGTCTAAGTGCTATTGCTATGGCTATTGCATTGGTGAGGAAAATGTGTCACAGTGAATCCATCGCAAATTCAGTGTTGGGGTAAGAAGGGAAACAGTACAGGTAATCCTTGATTTACAACAGTTCTTTTAGTGACCAAAGTTACAATGGTGCCAGTGGGGGATTCAATTTTTTTTTACTACTGGTTCTGTGGGCATGCCTTGGTGGGTGTGGCAGGGAAAGGATACTGCAAAATCCCCATTCCCTCCTGATCAACTGGGACTCGGGAGGCAGAGAATAGAAGGGGGAGGAGCCAATCAGAGGAGGTATTTACTGGTTCTCCAAACTACTCAAAATTTCCACTACCGGTTCTCCACAACTGGTCAGAACCTGCTGAATACCACCTCTAAATGGTGCTGAGAAATGTGACTTATGACCCTTTTCCACCCTTACAACCATTGAAGCATCTCCGTGGTCATGTGATCAAAATTCAGATGCTTGGCAATTGACTCATATTTATGATGGTTGCAGTGTCCCGGGGATCATATGGATCACGCTTTGTGACCTTCTGAAAGCAAAATCAACGGGGAAGCCGGATTCCCTCAGCAATCTTGTTGCTAACTTAACTACTGCATTGATTCACTGAACAGCTATGGCAAGAAAGGTCAGAAAATGAGGCAAAGCTCGCTTAACAAATGTCTCCCTTAACAACAGAAATTTTGGGCTCAATTGTGGTCATAAGTCAAGGAGTACCTGCACTGCAAAACGGTACAATTCAGGATGACTGAAGGCAAGGGCTGGGAGTCGGTTGAAGAGAACACCATGAGGAAAAGAGATTGTTGGGAAATGTTTGTGCTGCAGAAAAAAGAGATTGTTGGGAAATGTTTGGGCTGCAGTGAGATGAAAGTAAAGAAAGCTCTGAGGCTGATTTCAGGCAAAGTGCTTCTTTCTCATTGCTCTCCCCTTAATGGGTAATCTATATTGGGAGACATCTTTGAACTAAGGAGTGCTATTGATTTTGAAGGAACTGATGGTAGGAAGTACTTCTATCTCTCTAGTAGCTACCCAAAAGAAGTATGTAAGAACACGAGGTCTAGGCTTGCTGAATCAGGGCAGGGTTCATGAATGCAGCTTTTTCTTTCTCTCAATAGTTAGTCAGAGGTCTCTGGGGTGTTTTCCAGAAGGAGAGGGAGACGTAGCTGTCCCCTAAGACTAAGAGCCCTTGATAGAACTTTCTATCCCAAATTTATCTGATACCATTTCAAAGCCATTACTGGCTATCATCTCATTTTGTGGTAATGAATTCCATAATTTTATTTATGTGCTGTATAATTTTTTTTCTTATTTATTCTAAATCTCTTCACTGGTTAATCTTAGTCATCCCTATTCACTTTCTCTAAATCATGCGTCATTTAATAGAGTCCAATAATTCTCCAGCCTAATCATTTTTCCTCCTAAGCTAATGAGTCACAAATGTTTGAACCATTTTTTGTTCTTAAAAAAAACATATTTTTACTATTTTTTTCTTAATGTAAAATGCAAATAGAAATAAAGGCAATGGGACAAATGGAAAGGGGGGAAAGGAAAGAGGAAGAGGGAATAAACTGAGGAAAGAAAAAGGAAAGAAGGAAACAAAAAGCAATTTCTTTGGGTGCATTAAGATACATAATACAGTTATAACATCCCATGTTTACTTATCTAAAATAGTAAACACTAGCCATTTCTATAACCATGACCTACTTAGTTATCAAAACCCAAAATCAAAGTTTCAATTTTTTTTGCCTTTCAATCAGAAAGTCCAGAAGCAAGTGGAAACAAAGCTATTTACATTCTTATCAGGGGTGGGTTCTGGCAGGCGCTTACTTGTGTGCGCTCTGGGCGGGCATGCAGAGTGCAATAAAAGTTGTTCTGCGCATGCAGAAAAACAAGATGGCGGCACCTATGGTGGCACCCAGATAACCGGTTCAGGGGCGTGGCAGGTCTGGGTCACTGCCGGTTCCAGCGACCCAGTCTGTCAAACCACTACCGGTTTGTCCAAACCAGTCCGAACCAGTAGGAACCCACCACTGATTCTTATCCCTAATGAATCCAATTAACTTTGCCATCTCCAGTTATACTATCTTTTCAATCCATTCTTCTAATCTAAAAATCTATATCTCTTTCCATTTTTGAGCATATAGGATTATTGCTGCTTTCAATAGATGGATGGATGGATGGATATAGAGATAGATAGATATAGATAGAGACAGAGACACAGACAGGATAAAGATACAGATGTATGTATGTATGTATGTATGTATGTATGTATGTATGTATGTATGTATGTATGTATGTATGTATGTATAAACAAAGTTCCATTTCCCCCCATGTCCTTATCTAATAATCCCAAAAAGAAAATATTTTAGTTTCCATTTTAAGAATTTTAAACCTTCAACAACTTTCCCCTTTCCAATATTTCCTTGAGAGAGCGAATCTTCGGATGAGAGGTTTTGCTGTTCCCAATCACTGGCTTGATCCCTTGATCCCCTGAAGACACGATAGGCTAACTCTACCAGGTGAAGAGAAATAAAAGGCTGTGACACCAGTTGCACAAGGAAGAGATAATGTCTGAATGCTGTACAACAGTTAAAAATGTTTAAAGTTGGGTGGTGGTGGTGAAACCAGTGGTTGTATTGAAAGTTGTATTGAATAGATAGATTGTTGTCCAATCAAAGCATTTAGCTAACCCGAAGTGTTGTGTTTAGTTCTTTCTCCATGATTAGAAATCTTGTTCATCTAGCTCTCTCTACATCATGGGTGTCAAGCTCAATCGTGTCACTGGCCAGATCGTGATGTATCGTGAAGTTTTGTGCCCTTGTGGAGCTGGGGTGGCCATGGCCTGCACGTAACATATCCAGCCCGTGGGCCTCCAGTTTGACAGGCCTGCTCTACTTGATTGGAAATCATTGTCAACAGCAGCTTGAGAATTCTATTCAGATTCAGTTACACATGTGTGGGTTTTCCAATGAATATGTACGTGTGATCATGAGTATGTAATCATGCTTCCTTCACCACCTATTATTTATAGTTTGAGGAAATACAAGTTGAAGTTCCCTATTGTGGAGATGAGAAAATATAGTTCATTAACAATGGAGAAGTGGACACCATCTGTCCTTTTGTTCTCCTTCAGAAAATGAAGAAGTGGTGTTTCAACTATTATGTTCTGCCTCTGATACTCTAAAAGAGGAACTGTTTTTCAATCTACCAGGGAAGGGGGAAAAAAGCAGGGTGACAAAGAGGAGTGGGTGGTTATGTAATATTTCACATATGAAAACCAGGAATATCTGTGACAGTTTTCCTAGAAGTGGCAAAAATTAAACTGTAAGAGATTGGTTGTTCTACATCAATAATTGTTTTCTTGTTTAATTGTTTTCTTTATTTTACCCATGTTTTCCCAAAAATAAGACTCAGTCTTATTTTCTTTTGGACTCCGAAATAAGCACCAGGGCTTATTTTGGGTGATGTCATTCCCCCACTCCCCATGTATGGGAGACGCACTTCTTTTGTTTCCTTGTGGTGGGGCAGGAGGCCGCGTGGCATGCCATTGCTGCCACTGTGAGGCAGGGTAGAGCTGCCTCATGTGCTATGCACCTGCTTACCTCAGCCCCCCCTCAGCCAGGCCACACCCCAACACTTGCCTCGCCTTGTGGCTGTGGCTCCAGCAGTCCCATCCAGCAGGATCCCACATGGCTGGCAGACCACTTCTTTTGCTTGCTCGTGGCCACAACGGAGCAGGAGGCCAAGTGACACACCGATGCTGAAATCATGAAGCAGTTGTCGGGGCCTGGATAGCCTGGCTGAGGGGGCAGTGTGGGGCATCTTGGGCACCTCCGCCTCCCATACACCTCACCTAATGTTGGTGGCACCGTGAGCAAACAGACGGAATGGGTGGGCAGCCAGCTGCACAGGCACTTAAGTAGGGTTTATTTTGGGAGTAGGGCTTATATTAGGCTCATGCATAAAACATGCTATGGATTATTTTCAGGATAGGTCTTACTTTGGGGAAAACAGGGTATATTGCTTATTCCATGGTCTGAATCCCAATCATTTTAGATTTAGATTATTTTTTTTTTAGATTTAAATTTTATTTGTATGCTGCCCTTTTCCCTGAAAGGGACTCAGGGCAGCTCACAACTCAAAGGGAGGGAAACTGTCTGGCTTGATGAAAGAATTTTGGAGAATTTGAAAGCATGCATATTTCTTTATTAACTTTGTTAGTATAATAAAGGTATTAATTTAATTTTGGAATTATTCATATTGCTAATGTAATGTGATGTAATATAAGAAACCATTGATTTTTTTCTGTTGCTTACAGAAACCTCATAAAGATGATCTGCAATAGCCAAAAAATAGACTCTGAGATACATTGGCACTGTAGGAGGAATGATACCTATTTCCATGCTGCCCAGACCAATATGTTCATTTTCAAACCTGATGAGAAGTTGGAAATCCAACTGAATGTTGACCTCTTCAAGAACAGTATGTATCTGCATATTCGTGTGAAAATATTCGGCATCCACCTTTCTCTAATCAAGTAGAGAACATCTGACCCAGTGTTCTGCCTCAAGCAATTTGAAACAATTTAAAAAGGGGACTATCATGAACAGCTGCTGAAAAGGTAGTTTCTGTGACAGTTCAGTTTCAGTTTATTGTATTTATATGCCGCCCTTTTCCCCCGAAGGGGACTCAG